TGGCAGGGCATGGGCCGCAGATCAGCGTGGGCTGTCTATGTGTGCAGCGCAAGGGTATTGGTGCCCCCCCGCCCCAGCGGGAGTGGCACATGGTAGTGGGGCCGAGGCCGGGCGCTGAAGGTCCACGAGTCCAGCGTGGGCTATCTATGTGCGCAGCGGGGGGGTATTGGTGCCCCTCCGCCAAGTCGGAGGTAACGCGGGGTATTCCGGCCGAAGCCAAGCGCTGCAGGTGAAACTAGCTTGGGGGGGGGGGGGGGGCCGGGGGGGGGGTAGGCGACTGCCAGGCAGAGTGGGGCAGGTAGGCTGGAAGTGGTGTCCACCAGTCGGCTTTGGGAACTGCCTGGGCTTCGTGCGCTCCCGGGAGGGGGCATCAGTCACGCCCGTGGGTTCCTGCGCTAGGTGGAGTGGGCGGGTCATCCTTGCACGGGTCTCACAGTGCAGCCCTGTCGCCTGGATCAGGAGTCCCAGCCTCGCTGACGCTTATCGGCGTACGGTTGGTCTTCTCTCGGGGAATAGCGCTTGCCCTTCGCCTTCCAGTCAGTGTCGGTCCGCGAGGGCCCCTCGCGCCCCCAAGTGTCCCATGACTGTCGTCCGCGCCACGACGAGGCGGAGCTTGATGCACCAGTCCACTGGTCTGGACGGGGCGTACGTGCCGCCTCCTTGCCTGCTGTGGACCAAGGGGGTGGGCGGCCGCGGCTGTCGCACCCTCGAGCGGTGTGTGGCTTGGCGACTCGTTGCAGGAACCTGCAGTGTCGATCCTTGACAATCTGCCAGTCAACTTCGATATTGCACTCCCTGTCCATCTTGTAGGCATCGAAATTCGCCTTGGTCCACGCTTGGAGGAAATCGCTGCGCTGCTGTACAGAGTTTCGCTTGGGGTCAAGTTTGCTATCGTGGCTCCCTCGCCTCAAAGCTGCTTGCTTGACCCAGGCGCCCCACACTCCATTGAACGCCCCCCTACCGTGTTCTGCAGACGTGTGATCTTGTCGGGGGCTGGCTCGTCTTTGGAGACGTCCGCCTGGTCCACTGGGCGCATGTGCATGGGGGCGCCTCCCATGGGGTCGTCGCGCTGCTCTACTAGTGGTAGTGACCTCCGCGCGTCATGCCAGGGGGCCTGTGCGGCGCGCGGAGGCGCGTGGCCTGGGTAGCGCGCGCATGGGGGAGGGGTGGCCGAGCGCTCCCGGGCCCTGTTCTCTTCGATCACTGGTGGTCGCTGGTTGCTGCCGCCATCAGTACGTCTCAGAGGCCTGTTGTCCCGAGCCTCGTCCAAGTCCCGAAACGGCATGTCCCTGCTATGGGGGTTGCCTGAGGCGTTCCTTTCCCTGGCTGCCTCCCGGAAGGCGGCCTGCTCATATGGGGACCAGACGTCAGAATCGCTCCTCTCGGGCACATTTACCCAGAGCTGGAGGGGATCCGGGATGACGGGGTTATCCTCAGTGGCCGTAGTGTCAGGAAGGTCTTCATCGGGGTTGGTGGAGCTGACGTGCGAGTCAGAGTCTACAGAGCCGTCCTCGCCGGATCGCGCGTAGTCTTCTGACTCGGATCTTCTGCCCCCCTCTTCTCCCCAGTCAATCCCCTCCACGTCACCATCACCTCTGCACGGGCCAGGTGGGGTTTGTCTCCCAGTCTGGGGGACAGAGGTCCCGTCGGCCTCGTCCAGCTGCGGGGGTGGCGCGGCAGCGTAGTCCAAGGATGCACCTTGGGCCTCCGTTCGGAGTCCTGCTGCGGGGGGTAAAATGCTGCTGGAGTGCCTGTTGACCCAGCTAGCGGCTGGTGATCCATCCCCGCCGGAGCTGCTGGCTGCCGTCCCAAAGGGCAAAGCTGCAAGGTGATTGATGGTGCCCCTGGCCAAGTCGGAGTCTTCCAGCCATTTTATGAAGGTCCTGAGAACGTAAAGCGGCTGACGGAAGGGGCACTGCCTCTTCTGGTAGGTGAGGTTGTCTGCATAGCGCTCCCACTCTTCTTTGTACTTCCGGCTGTTGCCCGCCAGGTGCGTGACCACCCTGGCTGCTGCGGCGCGCTGTCCATCCCATGTGACACGTGGGGGGTGTCACTTTTCTGGGATAGTCTTTCCGTACACAGTTTCCAGGAAGGGGAGTAGCCTCTCCGTCGGCCACCTCGTCTCGTCATTTCTGTCCCCTTGGATATCCTCGCCTTGTTGCCGAGCCGAGCGTAGGTGGCCCAGCGCTTGTAGATTGTGTGGTTCCATTCAATCGCGTACTTGACCAGGGCGTGGACAGGGCCGTCCGTCTCAGCCCCGGCGAGACGGGAGGTGGAGAACGTGGGCAGGTATGGGCACGACGGTGGGGATACTGTGGGGAAGGAGGCTCCGCTGCTGCTGGAGGCCCTCCCTTCTGCTCCCGATTGGCCGTCTGGGTCACTGGTCTCCATGTCTTGCGGGGGCGCTTCCTCGCCGCGGGGCGCGGGTCGTGTGAATGCATCGCTGACCGACGCAGTGATCCCTGCCGGGGAGAGGTGTGCACCCATGTCGTACACCCTTAGGGTTACGCGAAGCGTCTAGAATACACTCTGGCGGCTCCCCTTGCGTTGCCAAATGCCACGTCTGCTTTGTCGCGGTGGCCATGGAACTATCAAAAAAAAACAGCAACAAGCAAACCGCTTGAGCCAACCCCTAATCTGAGCGGGAACGGGCGCTTGTAACACCCCCTGGAGGCCCCCCCCCTCGAAGTGCCGAAACGCCTTGCCTGCGATGTCTTCGTGGACATGGGCTCTGAAAGGAGGAGAGTCTGGAGGGCAAGGTAAAGAAGCCGCTCCGCATCCCCACAGATCTTGGCGCGAACGGGCGAATGTGACACTTCCTGAAGGCTCCCCCCTCGAAATACCCACATGGCACGCCTGCCATGACGCTGTGGTCATGGGTCCATCAGAGAAGAAGAATCTGGGCGGCAACAGCAATCAAACCGCTTCTATCATCCCCGCAATCCAGGCGCGCAACGGCACATGCAACATCCTCTGGAGGCTCCCTCCTTGGGGTGCCCAGGTGCCACGCCTGCTGTGTCGCGGTGATGATGCTGCGAGTGTGACTGGTCGTGCCGTGACCGGTTACGTGTGACGAGTCTGAGAATTCTCTGGCTGGGGTCTGGGTGGATCTGAATGGGAATTGTCTGTGTACGTCTGGGGAAGACACGGCCGCTCGGGATCGGATATCTTCCCAACTGGGTTATGTGTGTGGTCAGTTGCAGGGCCCGTCCTCTTTTGCGACCGTCTGCTTTTGTCCTTATTCTGTTGTCCTCGTCGCCCGTTGCCCTTTTCTTCTCGATTCGAGGGTGTTCCAAAACACACTTTTCGGTACGTCGATTCGGATGTTCGCAGAACAGCTTCTGGGAACATTATTACCTTGTTCTTTGTCTGGCTTTGTTTCTTATTGCCTTCCTCTTGGTATTCTTGTTTTGATGAGCCATCTTCTTGTTCTTATGATGCTCACTAGTCTTTCCATTCTTTTTCTGGTTTTGATGATCGTCATGCTTCGAACTCTTTCAATTCCTTACCATATTTTCACTTTTCGCCTTTGCATTATGGTATCGCTTCTCTCACAAATTCACTGGCCAGGTGATCTGGTGATCTGGCCCTCCAACCGCGTGATCTCGTAGTCCTGTTCAACCAATCACTGACATCGTGATCCAATGATCAAGCCGCCTGGGAAAATGTTCTTCAATGAATAGACCGATCTGCTGATCTGGTTATCCAGCCGCCTGAAACGGTGACCCGGTTTAAGTGATCACTGATCTGGTAATCTGGAGATCCGACCGCCTGTTCCAATGATCCACCCCATTGGATCCGGTGATCCGGCCGCCTACGGTGGTCTAACTCAGTGGATCTAATTTTGTGATCTGGTGATCCAGCGCCTGATCCGATGACTTCTGATCGGGTGGTCCACTGACCCTGCCAAATGATCTGGTGATTTTATCTGGTAGACCAATGTTGTGGCGATCCCATGATTTGTCCGCTTAATCAATGACCCGGTGATCTGGTTCAAAAGATTATTCCTGATCTGGCGATCCAGTGATGCAGCCGCATACGGTGATCTGGTGTCTGGTCTACTCCGATCTATATATATATATGTGTGCACATATTCATGTACATACATGTACAACCAGCCCGGATCTAGCACCCTGAATGGTTTATGTGTGCATCCGTTTTCCAATTCTTTGAACCGATATCTTGGTACGGGCAACCGGCGTAACTGAATGATAAACGCGGTGCTGCCTTGGAAACGGCTTGAGTCAAACTGGGCCAACAACCGTCTCGCCGAAAAAACTCTTACATGGCTCTCTGCGGACTCCTTGCGCCTGTTTGCTATAGCAAGACGTGCTATTCGGCTACGGGCGTTCGTCCTTCGGTATATATCTCGAGTCTTGCCGCAAGCTACCAATGCAACACTTCTTACGTCGCGGGTTGAATGCGTGCCGATGGTCGAACGGAATGCACTTGGAACGAAAAGCAACATCATAGTCTAAGGCGTACGTTGTCCTAGGATGGTACTGGCTGACACTGCACGGCTGGCAAGGACGAAGGCCGCAAGAACCACGGAACTACAAGTGTCAATGATGGTTGAAATCGCGCTTGCACCCGGAACATGCTTCGTCGCGGTGGCCACGTGTCTGGTAAACCGAAACAGCCATGCTTGGGCAATAATGCTTCATAGGCACGCGCCCTGCTGGCATTTGCTGGGGTAGCCACACCCTTGCTGCCAGATGAGACGTCGCTGCCGCTTCAATCATTTGAAAAGTACTGCCACTGCAACTGCCGCCGCTTCTGTGCTTGTGATCGCCGTATGGCTGCCATCACCATCGCTTATACCGTACGCGCCACTGCTCTACTCAACGACTCTCTTGATGGTATTTCTGGCATCCTTCCCTGGAAGTGGCCTGCGGCCTTGCATCTCCATCGCAGAGGAGTCGGCCATGCCTGCAGGGACGAAAATCAAGCCAGCAAACGACCCTCACGAAAACTCATGCAAGAAAAACGGCCGAGGCGCCTCACTCGTCGAGCACGAGGGCCACGCTCCGCCTGTTGCCGCTGGGAGGGGCCGCCGGGTCGGGCCGCGAGTGCGAGTGCTCGATGTAGGGCCCCTCAGGATCGACCCGGACGCAGTGCTCCACGGGCTCCACGCCCGGCAGCTCCAGGCCATCGCCTGCCCACAGCAGCAGCTGCCCGCTCCCTGGGGCGACCCAGCGCGCCCCGTCGTCGGGGCCGGTGGCGCGCAGCCACAGCCGCGATGCGGCGCGCCGGGGCGGCTCGCCGTGGACGTCTGGCTCCCCCCCAACGCCGTACACCTCGAGGGGCGTCGGCCGACGACCTCACCGATCCTGGCCCGACCAATCCTGGGCCCAGGGCCGGTGTGTGCGCGCCCTCCTGGCCAGGCCCGCAGGGATTGTACACCGCTGGGCGCTGCCAAGGTCGGCGAGGCGGTGGGCTGGCGCCCCCCGGCAGCACCGCTGTGAGGACGCCGCGATCGCGGTGCGTGTTGAGGCAGCCGTGGTCGTAGTTGAATCCGCCAGCGTGCCGCTGGGCACGGAGGGGGCGTGTCCTCAGGTCCTGGGCCAAATCAATCCTCCGAGCCTCCATCCTCGCTCCTGGAGGGTCTTTCGGATGCCCGGAGCCCTCGCTCCCAGATCTCCCGGGCCCCAAGGTGCGCGCCACCCCGGGGCTCGGCGCGTGCCCCCGGAGACTTCCCGCGTGCCCCCTGGGCTTTGCCAACTGGTGGCGCGTGAGTGTTTCGGCCCGTGAGGGCCCCAAGGCGGGCCAGTAGGACTCCAAGCGGCCTGCAAGACGTCGCAAGAGGGCCCCCCGACGCCCAAAGACCGGCCCAAGACGCCCACGATGGCCTCAAGATGACCCAAGAGGCCTCCAAGACACCCCAAGAGGCCTTCAAGAGGCCTCTCAAGAGGGCATCAAGAGGCAACAACCATTGATTTTCCAATGCTTTTTGACGGACTTTTGCATTCTCGCCTTTTCGGCTTTCCGACGCTCCAGGACGGCCCAAGAGGCCTCCAAGAAGGCCCCGAGACGGCCTAAGAGCGCCACAAGAGGTGCCCCAGCCTCAGAGGCCCCCTAGACGGCCCCAAAGGCGCCCACGAGAGGAAGCACGAACCGAAACTCCGAGCCTTCCCCCCAGGAGGCCCCAAGAGGCGCCCAGGAGACCCCAAGAAGCCCCCAAGAAGCCCCCAAGAGACCCCAAGAGGCCCCCAAGAGGCCCACAAGATGCCCCATGAGGCACTCAAACGGCCACCCCAAAGGCCTCCTAACTGCCTCCATGTTACCCCCGAGAAGCCTCCCACGAGATCCCAACCAACATCCAATAGGCTTCATAGCCACAACCCAGGCAGGGTGACGGGATGGGCCGAAGGCCATTCGATATGTTGAAAAACGAGGCTCCGTACGGCCAAGGTCCCCCTGGGCCCTCAAACGGCAGCGCGTCCCCAGTACACGGGGGCTTCGGAACCGCCACGTGCTCCGTGCCCAACAGCGAGTGGGCGGCGACGACCAAGATTCCGTACAGAGTGTTGAAGCACCTACTGAATGGGGGCGCCATGCGAATCTGGACCGCGGGCACGTCTGGCGCCAAAGCAAAGGATGCGTCGGGGTCGGGTGGCGGCGGCGGGTAACGGAACGCCCTCGCCTGGCCGAACTCGCCGACAGCTTCCTCCAAAGTGCTGAGCTCCGCGCGTGAGAGCTCAACTCGAACGAAGCCGTCTCTCCTTAACGCCTCCAGCAGCTCCGTGCGCCCAGCGCCAGCGGTGCGAGCGGCGAGGCTCCAGACCCTTGGGGGGGTGGGCAACATCTGACAAAGGGAGCCGGTCAGCGCGGAAGCCGTCAAAGCCGCGCCCGCCGCCAACGATGCTCTGGCTGCCAACCGGCCTGCTGCGGAGGCCGTGCGCCAGCTGCCTCGGAGCAGCCGCTGGCTGCCAGGGCGCTCGATCGGCATGCAGCAGCAGCTGCCCTCCAGCTCCGCGGCTGTCGCGGGGCGGCAGTCCGCTGTGGTGGCGTCCCTGCGAGAATGGCCACGATGGTGGTGGTGGTGCGGGTGACGGGGGAGATTCTCGTGGTAGCGTAATGGTTGTGCTGATTGCGCTGATGGGGGCGTGCTCGCAATCTACTCGTTCAGACAGCGGGAAGCGGGTGGCGAAGAACGTACGTATGCTGTTTTGGGTCGCAGCTGTGGTCGTGATAGCACCACGCGTTCCAGAGGAGGGGTAGTGGGAGGAGGGAGGAGAAGATACAGACCCTATGTCACACTAAACAGGATGTCCAGAACATTCCAGAGGGGGAGTCCTGCAAGTAGATTCGAAAATTATGTGATCACCTGCGGGGTCTGCTGAATCACGTCGGGGGGAAAAAAGACGCCCCAGAACATCCTCGAGAAGAGCCCAGAGGGCCTCCGAGGAGGCCCCGCAAGCGGCTCCACACACAGCGCTGCCATCCCGGGCTCCACGGGTTTCGCCAAAGGCCGTGGGGGTTCCCCCAGCTAGCTGCGAAAGTAATGGACCTCCAGCGGAGGAAGAGGAGGAGGAGAAAGAGGAGGAGGAGGAGGAAAAGGAGGAGGAGGAGGACGAGGAGGAGGAGGAGGCGGAGGAGGAGGAGGAGGAGGAGGAGGAGGAGGAGGAGGAGGAGGAGGAGGAGGAGGAGGAGGATGAGGAGGAGGAGGATAGAGAGGAGTAGGGGGAGGGGAGGGTCTGGACTCAGGAGGTTTCTCTGCACCTTTTTCCTTCCGAGGCCCTAAACGACGTCATAATTCAGTGGTCGCGAACGAGATTCCTTCCGTCACCGCTCTCTTCTAGAACGTCCAGTTGAACTAACGCCATAGCCTGAAATTTGCTGCCGCCTGCCTAAAGAAGAAATGGACCCCGACCTTCCCACCATGTGTCGTGGTGCCCCGGCCAAGAAGCCCTGATCGCACAGCATACATGTATGAGGTTGGCGAAGTTGAGCTCGGCGGCGAACTGCTTGACCTTTGTTCGCTCGACCACGCATGCCTTCTCCGCGGCGGTCGATACTGGAAGGCTTCTGTCGACGGCCTGTTATTTCGGTCGGTCCTTCGGTCACAGCCAGACTCGTGTCGGGCTTCACGTAGATCCACCTCGTGCCGTTCCTCTGCACGAGATGCATCCGCATCACCATCAACACCTTTTCGCCACCGATTCTGACCGGTCGTCAAATACATGCGGCTCCATCGCGGGATCGCAGCCTCGTAGCGATCAGCAGCTCCAGGTAGTCGCATGCGAAGAGTTTCTCCCATTCTCTCGCGTACCGATGGGTCGCGTCGTCCTCTGGGGCGGCGACGGGGGCTCAAAACGTCCAGTTCACCAGGCCGAAATCACCGATGAGAGAGAACACTGCCACCGCGAGCAGCCACCTGCGCGGGACATCGCCCGAACGCCAGGGCGCGGAATCCACACCGAAGCTCCTATGCTGGTGTGGCGAAGAGGGCGAGGTGGGCGCGCCAAACTGAAGCTGATCAGCCAAGTTTGAGAAGTTTGCATCCGGCAGGCTCGAGCGACGGTACATGTTATAATGCAACAGCTGCTAAACATGCGTGGCGCCAAAGAGGATGGCCCCAAACGGCCCCGACAGCCTAAATACCGCTCCAAACGCGTCCCCAACGGGTTCTAAGAGGCGATGTTGTGCTCCAGAGGGGCGTATTACTTTCAGCCGCCGCCTTTCTGATCGATGTCCTTCAGTATGGCCCCGAACAGGGTCTCAAGGACCCCCAAAAGGGCAAACCCGATGCCATCCAAAATTGCCCCCGACACCGCTCCCAGATGGTGCCAATATCCTCCTGGAGGCTCCATGCTGCGACACATCCCTGATCAGTGCAACTCGCTCGGGGATCGTTTCGGGAGGGATGCGCGAAGCGCCAAGAATAATCCCAACTTTGGTGCGCGTCACCTATATTGGCGGGTGCGTCTGATTCGCTACGGGTGACTAGAGTACCCGCTGCAACCTGCCAGCCACTGCGGGGATGATATTAGAAGACGCGCCTGTCTTGCACTGGCTTGTAGGGAGACCGAACTTGCGGCAACTGCGGGTATATGAAGCATCGAAGATGAGACGTCTGCTTGCTCTGCGAGGAGCAGTCGACAGCACACCCAAGACGAACTGCCCCTGGAATGCACACGGCTGATGCTGGTCGCACGGGGATCTGGACCGCGCGCACACTGTATGATTCACGCAAGCGTTCTGTATGTCAAACGCCTGCTTCTTGGCATTCCTGCATGCTACGCTCCCTCCCCGTTTCTCTCGCTGCCGCCCGCCCCGTCTCCTTCCAACTCTATCTCCCCCCGTGCGCTCCTCTAACCTCTCTCGCAGCCTCGCCCTCTGAATCGCGCTCTCCATCACTTTCACGCTGCTTCTGCCCATCTCCTTTTCCTTATCCCTCCCACTCTTTGTCCTGCTTGTCCTCCTCCTCCTCCTCCTCCTCGTCCTCCATTTTCGCCTGCTGTCTGATTCCGGACACGGGCGCCGCAGGCGCGAAAGTGCAGCAATTCGCCTGCGCGGCCAAACTAGCGCCAGCGGGTCGGCAGTAGTCCAGCTGCAGGGGCGCTTGCAGTTGTCGGGAAAGGGAGGGAAGGATGGCAACGAACAAATTGGCGTAGGTTCTGCGAGACACAGGCGGGGGCGTGGGCGGCGCCAGGGAAGGGTGTATAATGGGAAGAGGATCGGAGGAGGACACGCGAGGCAGGCGGTATGGAGAGGACGAGAATGGCGGAACACAAATGGGGAATACAGGGGGTGATGATGGGGATGATTAGGATTCGTATGATGATGCGAGGAATGGGAAGAAGGCGGGGGAGGACAAGGGGGAGGCTGATCATGCCGAGGAATCTGATCACACACCGCCCAGGAGAATCAACTACACCGAAGAACAACCAAACATTACATGATATGTCAAAATCTTTGTGGTCGGACAATATGGATCTAGCCGATACCTTCGAAACCCTTTCTCAATCAGCGGGCGCAAAGGAGCGAACGTGGTCAAGCGCCGGTCGGGAAAAAGGCGGGGCGCGCCGAAAGCAATTGGGGCACGATGGAAAAAAGGGAAAGCATAGCAGAGGCAAAGACGGAGCCGCTCAAATCGTGCAGACCTCTATGGGCGTGCCGGTAGAGAGGACGCGCGGGCTACGTAACAAGCAGCGGGTGGCCAGAGCCAGAACTTGTATAACAAGCTATCCTTGAGAAGGTACGTGGCGACTGTGAAACGATAAGCCCAGGTATACTTGAACAGGTAGGGCTGCGACGCAGCGATGGCCGAAACCGCAGGCCGTGAAAGGGATGCCCTTGAACGGGTGCATGGTGAATTTAAAGGGCGAGCCGATGGTGGTGAACTTGGACAGGTAGGCGGTTGCCAAATGACAGAAAAACCCAGAGGCCCCCCCGGGAGCAAAAAACAAGAGATAAGCTTCCACGCGTGAAATCAAGGTCCGGGTGATAACAGCCCGAGCGGCCGGTCACGAAAGCGCCGCCGACGACCAGGGGTAGCGAACTGGGGGCGGTCTGGGCAAGGGCTGGAGACCGCGGGCGACCCAAAGGGTGAGTGCGAAAGGAGAACAGTCAAGTCAGGTTCGGATTCCCTTGCCGAGCAGTACCAAGAAAACCCCGCGGGGGCAGCCCAGAGGCAGCGGCCAGGCACTGCGGATGCAGGGTATTAGGCGGGCATGGAACCCAGGGGCGAAAACCCGACCAACGCGGGAAAACCAGGTGACCAGGGGGGCGACAAGCCTGGACAACGCGGGATAGCACCAAGGCCCCGCAATCGTAGAGCGAACCCCGTACCGGGGCCAGGTGCGCAGCGGCCGCGTCCAGGGTCAAAGGTCCCCAGCGGGGCCCTCGGACCGCCTTCCGTGCTGGTGCCGCGGCAGCGCCGCGCCCTCTCGCTCGGCCCGCTCCTCCACAAGTCGTGTCTGGCGGCCGCGAGCCCTCGGAGGAAAACCAAGCATTGGACAGCTGACCGCCTCCCGAGGGCGAAAGGGGCGCGCCGCCTGCCCTCGTCTTGCGCGGTGCAGAGCGCGTGCCAGCCACTGACCAAAATACGGGCCCCACCTCGCGTTGGAGCCGTTTGACGCAGTCGCCAGGCGTCTCGCCGTCAAGGGACTCCACGTGGGTCAGCCCGCGGGGACGTACGTGCAGCTTGCCGGCGTCCCCTGTCGTGGCTGTCTCGCGACGTCCCAGCCCTCCTCTGCGCGCCCCCCCGGTTCTCGCGGCCGCTGGTCGCCCCGTCTGCCCGCGCGGCGCAGGTGATCGGCTCTAGGGCCAAGACGGGGGCACTGGTCGACGTCAGGGGCTGGGCTGGTGCGGGACTCGGCGGCCAGTTGTGGCCCCCCAGGCTTTCGGAGGCGCTGCCCGCCGCGACCTCGATCAAGGCGTCGGACAGGACGTCGAGCGAGGCGTCGGCGTGGGTGCCGGGGGCCCCCGGGCTCCCGCGTCCTGCTCCTCCGGAACGTCGTGGACGCCGTGGTCGTCGCCGTCACCCGAGCCACGGCGTTGAGCAGGGTCGGCGCTGGCGGGGCTCGGGCCTCTGGCCGCCGTCGAGGCCGAGCGGCGGCGGAGCGTCGGCCGCCGCCCGGGGGGGGGGGACCGGCGGCGCACCCGGCGGCGCGGGCGGGCCCCCCGCTGCGGGGGCGCCGTCCTCGCCATGCAGGGGCGCGGGCCGACCTCCAGCCGCTGGGCGGCACAGAGCGGCGGCGTCTGCCGTTTCGGAGGCGAAAGCGGCCGCGGCGTCTGCCCGCGCGCTGCCGTTGTCGCCAGCCCCTGCCGCCTGTGGGAAGCGCCCGGAAGGCAGGGGCCCATCTGGCCCCTTGCACATCACCCACGGACGGGCTTGAGACAGGCAACAGATTGGGGGCCTTCTGTGCTGTCGCTCGAGCGCTCACGCCGTCGGACGAACAGCTGGGGGCGACTGCGGTGACAGAGGCGGGCCGCTTCCCACAACGAGGAGTCTGTCCAACTCGCGTAGTTACTCGACAAGGTCGAAACCAAGAGGCGACACCCCGAGCCCTGCAAAAAGATCCGGGTCTCGGGCAGAGCCAGGGCGACGCGAGACGGAGAGCGATCCGGGTATAGACGCAACAGTGGGGTCAGCAACCCGGGTGCGGCTCAAGCTCAAGTCAGCCACATCTGCTTCAAGCCGCCGGCGCGCGGCCCTGGCGCGCGGCCCAGGCGCCCTCTCCCTCCTCCCGCCCTCCCCCTTCAGCTGCATGCGATGCCGCATCTGCTTGGCGCATTGCGTGCAAGGCCAGGCGGAGCCTGGGCGCGACATGTGTGCTGAGCACCAGGCGCAGGAGGCCCTGCCGCCTGTCGCACTCGCTGCGCCGGCGCCCGCTTTCCCGGCCAGGGCCCCGCCTTCTCCGACAGGCTCCCAGACAGGCGCCCCTGCAGCGCGCCAGAGGCGCGTCTGGACTCCTGGGCGGCAGACGCGTGCCGTCCTGGCGGAGCGGGACGAGGTGCTCGAGCGGGGATCTGTCGGGTGGTCTTCAGACACAGACATGCTCGACGGTGGAACCGCTGCTGCTGGAGCCGGGGGGTTGCCTCCACTGCCTGGGCTACTCGCGGCTGCGGCCGCCGCAGTGGTGCCCCCGCAGATGCGGCCCAGGTGGTCCTATGCCCATTCGAAGGGTGCGATGCCGCAGCCAGCGGCAGGCGCGCTTCAGGGCGTCGATTCCAAGGGCTTCGCATGAATGTCGACGCACCCTTGCTTGGGCAACTGTCAGGCCAACCACGTGCCAGATGGATGGCAACGTACAGCTTCGTAGCGTGCAGGCTCTACGGACGATCGTGCAGCACCAGGTGCAACAATGGCGTTCACAGGACATGCCTGGAGGGCGAGATGTTTGCCCCACAGGAACCCCCTCACGCAGCCATGGAGGTATCCGAAGAGGAGCGTCAATCCAGATAAGAGAGAACATCGGTGCGGATCTTTTCTCCGTCCTCGAACACGAGTTCAGGAAGTGCGGATCGAGGGTGCTCGCATGCTCTCGGGTGGATGCCTGGGATGTCGAGGGCACGGTCAATGACGCGCCCCAACATGCCCCGGCCAGACAAACCTGGACCGAAGGGCCGATGTTCCAGAAAACGGCTACCCCGCATTACCTAGAGGAAAGGCGGAAGAAAAAAACGCAACATGG